ACACTGATGCTATCAGCTCAGACATACCTCTTTCTTCAAATGGGAAGAGTTTCCCATTAACCAAATCCACCTTGCTTCCATGATGTTTTTGTTTGCTAGAAGGCTGGGTTATCCTTTTTGTACCTACAGATCCCACTCCCAACCCTTCCACTCCCAGATATGGAAGGCACTATGACCAGGCATCAGTGTTGTTCTGAATGCTATTTAGGAAGCAAGATGATCAGTTTTCAACATTTTAAGGAGAAATGTGACATTGTGCAATGGGGAGCCATGAACACAGCACGGAAAGTCAATTCTTGACCACAACCACTCAGTGCAACACAGTAGAGATGCAACGGGCTAGTCACCTCCCCCCCCAGAGCATCTGACTGCAGAACAGCCACCAACAGACAGGCCCCAAGATGAAAGGTAAAAAAATGACCTCTATCTGCAGAATAGACAAGTCCACTCTGCCAGACTGTGTTTCTGACACGATGGGTGGCAGAGATGCCTCCACCTTTGCTTCTCTTGACCAGGTACAAAGCCTCCGAGTACTGATCACACCACAGTACACAGCCAAGCATGTGTCATTGCCTGTGTACAGCTGGAACCACCCAGAAAGGCTCACCTTTGAGGTTTTTTCCTTTTAATTGCTCCACTAGCAATAAAAATGTCAGATTCTCACTAGAAACAGGAAAGGCAGAGAAACTGGAAAGCAAACCAAGGAGCAAAAGCGCCCAGACCCTGACCACGCACCCCTCCAGGGGTGATGTGTGTCCTTCAGGTGGAGTCAGAGGAAGCCTGGACAGCCCATGTCACATTAAAATGTTGAAAACAGCAGAGCACTAGGTCTGATTTGTAAGTCAGGTGGAGAGAGGGGCAGGAAGAGGTCGGAGAGGCAACACCTGGGGGAGGCATCTTACCGCTGAGGCGCTGGCGGAGAGAACGTAATTACGAGGTCTAGTCTCCTGAAAGTCAGGCACAGCCTAGTGGGGGAATAGAGTTTCATGTACAAGTCACAGGAGGCCACAGGAGTCACTTGGGCAATGGACAGAGGAAGGGACCAGCATCTTTCTCCTGTCTCTGCTGGAAGCTTAGTTCAGATTGTTGTGGCAGCAGGAGGGAGGTCTCCCAGCAGTCTGGGCAGTGGTGTGAGGAAGCCAGGCTTGTGCAAGGGGAGGTGGGCTGGCTCATGCAGTCACTCAGCCAGCAGGTATTTCTGCTGTTAGAAACTCTGCCTGTACTTGGAGCTATCTGCTCGTACAGCAGCCAGTTGGAGTGGAGATGAGACAGCACAACCCCAGATGCATTTCCCCTTCCCCTGCAGCCAGCAGCTGCTCGTGTCATGTTGGCTCAGTCCAGTGGGCAGGACCTTCCTTCCCCTTGCTTCCTGCCTACAGCCCTAGAAGTGTTCCATGCAGGGCCTTGTCCTTAAGGTGAGCATGTTTACTAGTGCCAGAGCATCCTTTCCACAGTGCCTTTTAAAGAAACATCTTGTTCTCACTCTTGTCAAGCCTCTGGGCATGTTTCGTCCTAACAGACAGATCTGCTGTTTTCAGTAAGGGGCATGGCTTAGCCAAAGCAGATCTAGCCCAAAGCCTTGCTGCTGTCAAAGGCAGTGCAAGAGTTTTCATCCCAGAGGTAGGAAAACCTTCAAGCCACCTTCTCCATAGCTAAACCTGGGGCAAGACTACTTAAGCACTCTGGAGTTTTTCCTCATTGGGAATGTAAGGGATTGAGTCCACCCGCACTCAGGTGTGTGCTCACTAACCACCACATAACATGGTCTCTATTCAGCTGAGCTAAGACTAGGCCTCCTCCTAGGATGGCCTTTGGCTGTAGCATTACCCAAAACTATAAGCCAGCAAATTAGCTCACATCAGAACCATCACCCTGGTTCTGTGGGTCAGGGTACCCTCCTTGGGCAGCGGTTGGGTGCAAGGCTGGCACATAATCCAGCTGGAACCCAGCTACGTGGTTAATCCTCTCAGGCCCCACATTTCCTCTCTCAGGTTAATCTCTTTGCAGCTCACCCACATCTACTTATACCCACTTTGCTGGGTCCCAAGCAGCTTGCTGGGATGAGTGAGCAGTGTGGGCAGAGCAGTCAGGCAGTCCCAACAAGAAGAGAGCTCTTATAAACCATCTAAGAGGTTTGGGGATGGCTGGAGGAAGGAATAAGGAGGATTCCTATTACAAGTCAAACCTGAATACAGGGAGAAAAATGCACCAGTGAGATTTGAGGCCAGCACAGCAACTAGGCTTGACTCCTCCCTGTGGGGAGAAGAGATGTTTCACAGAAATAGCTTCTCATGCTTCGTTTCTTTAAGTTTAAGAGCCACCTCCTCCCATTCCCTGGTCTCCAGGGAGTCCCACAACTAGTCATAGCACATGGGATGAAGGAGGCAAGCTGCTCTTGGACACCTGTGCATGGAGAAGTTGTATTTGCAAGCAGTGGTCAAAAGGGACCCACCTCCCTCCCCTTTTCACTCTTGTAATGGGGAAAATGGGCAGAGCCCTAGAGCCAGGAGGACAGAACAGCACCACAACCAGATCAACCTGCCTGTCATTGTCTCTGGCTGCCTCCCTCCCAGGAGAGGGACTCGCCACCCAACCCAACCTCCTCCTGCCTGCAGCCAGAGGAGCCTGAGTGAGTCTTTATGGGAGCTCCTGCCTCTCTTGAGCACTGCTTGCAAGCAGTGGTGATGGAACCAGTGCATGCTCCAGAGGGGCTGCAAGCAGCTGTGGATGCTCCCACCTTTCTGGAGCATCCTCCCCAGGCAGCCACAGCCCTGATCACGCTCAATACATGCTCCAGGGCCAGTCCCAATGAGACAAGGGAGGTATGAATTTTCATTTAAAATAGGAAAGAGACAATGAGAGGTGGCAAAGAAAACAACCCACCACGGCACTGTTAGCACAGTCAATACTCACATCTCCCTCACACTGAGCAAATCACAAAGAAACAAAACAAAAAGGTTAGTAAACAAAACAGCATCAACAGGAAGGACAGAGCACAACGTCCAAGGGAAATGCACAAGCCCAGACACGCAAACAGCAGCTCACAGGCCTGGGCAGCAGCACACGTGGAGGGTCAGTCACGAGACAGAAGCTGTTGGAGAACACAAGTTTGCACTACAGAGGGGAAGAGCAGCAAGAGAGTTGTGAGCTGGGAGAGGGGCCATACTTGAGGCCAGCTTGGATGGAGAGGTGCGACACAGGGCTCCAGGCCTGCCACAGGGTACTTTCGTGGTCTAATGATGAGTTAATGTGCCTGGAGCAGAGGCAGCAGTTGGTCCCTGCTGTGCTGGGAGCTTCTACCTGTGCCTTGTCCTGTAGTAGCTAGTGAGGCAGCCAGGGACCCCACCTTTAAGCGAGGCTGAGTATGAGATGGGTGCCCACAACAGCAGCTGAGGTTGCTCTTCTGTTGTGTGATCTCTGTTTCAAAGTAGAGTGGCTGAAACATGGCTCGGGGGGAGCGCCCTGGGAAGCCTGGACTGGCTCTGATCCCGCCCCAGCACTGCAGGTCCAGTGGGAAACCAAGTCTTTCTTTTCCAGCAACAGGGAAGTCCCTCACCCAAGGGCCTGGGTGCAGCTGAGAGGCCTTGGGACCACTTCATGTAGGAAGCAAAGAGGGTGAAAATAGAGGAAGAACAGGAGGTGTCTGAATTCCTGCTCTGATTTGAGCTTAAGATAAAGCAATGGCCACCACTTCCACTGAGACTGGGAGCACTTCAGAAGGGAATCTGTGATCCCTGAAGTTACCTTCAATGTATCTGGGTGACCTGATTGATGAGGGGAAGCTTTTCTTCTTTTAAAAGAGCAGCTATCACTTTTATTCACCCAGAGCTTTGTTCAGGGCTTTCCCACACGGGTCTGAGCACTCTGTTAGACCTGCTGGAGGAGGCTGCTGAGCTTAGCACAGCTTCCCCATATGGCACATATGCAGTTAGAGCTGGAGAAGGGGGAAAACACCTGGGAGTTGGTCACCCAGGGAGCTGCAAGGCAAGAGGCCCAGCTGAGCAGATGGCTGGAAAACAGGTTCATGGCAGGGCTCCTAGGCTGCTGTCCCAGAGACTGACTGACAAGGATTCCTGCCTGCTCTGATTGCACACATTTGGTAGTTGAGCTCCTGGCCCCAGGCTAGAAGCAGAACTTGGCAAATCCTTGTGCCAACAGCCAGAGCACTATAGGATGGCAATCTGCTTCAACCAGGTCCTCCAGGGAACCCATCAGTGCCCAGCTACATCCTCTCTGCCTCCTGCTACACCGCCTCTGACCAGGGAGAGCCAAGCCAGGAACACCCTGAGGTGGTGTCAGCCTCAGACATGCACTTTGAAGTGCTTGTCCCCATCGCTCAGGCCTGCAGATAGAGGCACTGATTGATTTACCAGCCCCTTCTGCACTGCTCTGACCTGAGACCTTTGGTAGTTTACTTGCCATGGTCTCCCCAAGGGTAGAGGACAGGACTAGCCTGGAACTCAACCACACAATGAATTGAATAGAGGCTGAAGGAAGGACCTCTTGGTGGCCAGTCTGACCCTTGGCCATGCCTTACAGGCTCCTGCAGCACTGTGCCTGGGGAAGACTGAGTTGGCAGAATCCTAACTCGTGTGAAAGCCTGGGGCTGCTGCAGAGCCTCAGCATGCGTTTCCCGTGCACACCTCCCAGCTCAGCACTCTCTTGGCTTGCTTTAAGGTCCCCAGGGAAACTTAGTCCTCAGAAGATGCAGCCCTTAGTTACTAGCACAAATCAACCACATCAACCACTATCAGTCAGGAGGCAGAAACCTGTGTCAAGCAGAAGTTTCCAGACCCTGGAAGCTCACTATTTGTTCCAGCAGGAAGGACATCTCAGGGACAGGTCCATGGCTCCTGCTCCCACCTCCCTTGCACACCAGACAAGGAACTCCCCCACCCATGCCTGCAGAGCCAGGACATGAAAGGGCAGCCTAATTTTTGTCCATGTGAGCCAAGCCCTGGGGCCAGAAGGACAGAGAGGGGAGTGAGGGAGACAGTTACCGCTGCTTTTGCCTCGGCAGCTTTGGCTTTCTTCAACCTGGCCTTGCAGGCATCCAGATCCAGGCGGCAGTTCTGCAGGGTCCTCCTCTCTTTCTGGAAGGGACAGAAAATGGGCAAGAGCAGCCTTAGGAGCTTTTGGAGAAGGAAAGGGACAAGGTAACATCTAGGAATCAAATCTATTCCCTTATAAAAAGTGCTAGGGAGAAAGCAGCATTTGCTACATTCATCTCATTAGCAAGAGTTCTGAGCCTGGCTGCCAGGGATACAGGCTCACCTTCTGGGAATAGGGCAGTCTATGGGTGGGTGATGCCCACCAAGGTGCAGGAGCCAGGAAAGGAATTGCCTTCCTCATGCACATCAACTGACAATCCTTCCCTGCACAGAGGAACCCTGAGGAGATCCAGCACTGTTATTCCCCCATCCTTGCATTCTTTGAGGGGAGAGGTGGAGAGTCCTTTCTCATAGGGAAGGAAAATGAGTTCTTCCAGTGCCGCTTCCCTCTCCCCCCACCCTCCTCATGCCCAGCAAGGTGAAAGCTTCCCCTTCCCTGCTGCCACACTCACAGATATGGTTCGCCAGTCCCCTTCCAGGAAGTTGCGCAGCGGGGTCAGGAAGTTGATGGCAGCAGACTGGATGAAGTCCCGTTCTGCTGCACCTAAGCGCCTCTGAGTCTCCCCAACTTTTATCAAGGTCTTCCCTGCAATAACAGGAATTACAGAATCAACTAGATTGGAAAAGACCTTTAAGATATCAAATCCAACCACTACCCCAGCACTGCCAGGGCCACCACTAACCCATGGCACTGGGGGCCTCATCTACATGTTTTGGGAATGCTTAAACTCCATGAGAACGCAATTAACACTGTGTTGGCTTCAGCCAACTCATCCCGAGCCACCAGTTTCCAGTGTTGGGGGTCAAAGGCACAGTGTACCCTGCCCAGGCAAGGTGACCATGCCTGCACCACACCAGCTTCAGACCTAACTACAGTCTGCTTGAGGCCTCTTCCCAGCTGCTCCCAGGGCAGCTTTGATCTTATCTATCTGCCGAGGCACTTGCTCCACTGATGTCCTTTTACTGCTCCACCTGCTTGCACAGAATGAATGTTGTTTGCCTCATAAGAGAGGCCCAGGAACAGAGCAGCAAATTAAAAAGCACCAGAGCAGAAAGAATGAGTTGATGAGGCAGTGCTGGCTGTAGGTGCAGTTACAGCTGGTCTGCCTGGAACAGGACTGGCTATTGAACAGCTATTGATTTGGAGAGCAGTAACAAAGCTGATGGCAGAGGCAAGGACAGATGCAAGTTAAGACCTTCTCTGTAGGTCGGCTGCAAATTCCCCCCGGAAGGGGCAACTGTTAGGATTTAAGAGCAGAAAGATGCTCTGTGTGGTCAGGAAGGGCCTTGTTGAGACTTGTAGACAAGCACCAACCTTTCCAAGTCTGTTTTTCTGTTTGCAGGACACACTTAAAGGCTGCTTCTCTTGTTCAGAGTCTAGAGAAACTGTGCAACTGGGTATCACCTTAGATTAAAGATATGTTTAAACTGCTCAAAGCTAGAGCCATTCACTGCAACTCTCTGTCCAGGCTAGTTTAGAAAGCCACAGAAATAGCACGGAATAGTTTGTGTGTCCTGTAAGCAGTTCCATTACCTACCCTGGATCCATGTGTCTTTATTTCTTTCCTAGCTCTGCCAGACTTGAGTACTGGGAATGGGGAGACCCATCCCCACACAGCATGGAGCGTGCTTTGCTGTGGAGTAAGTCTTGACTTCCTGCTCCAGGTGGGCTGTTTGCTTCTGTGCTGGAGAAGACCTTCTCTTGCCTCAGCTTTGACACACTAATAGGCAGGTTGCCACAGGGGGAGCAGGCCACTGTGCCCCCTTCAAGAGGCATCCTGCATGTGTCTTACCCCAAAACAGTCAAGGGGATGCTCTCTCAGGAGGGGATGGATTCCCAGGGCTCACTTACCATAAGGTGTCCCTGGCCCAAAGTCATTAGCTGCTTCTGTCATGTACTGTGCCAGCAGCTCCCCGTTGGTGACCCGGGAAGGCACCTTCCGGTCAAGCTTCTCATAGAGGAATTCCTCTACTCTGGCACCTGGAATGAGGTTACCACTGGTGGTTACAGGATGGAGGATGAAGGAGAGGCCCCTGGAGCTGGACCCACTCCATGCAAGCCTTAGTAATGCACTGAATAGCAAGCACCAGGAGAAGGTGTCCCTTCCAACCCCCCCCAAACTCAATGCAGCAGGGCTATCTGCCAGAGGGCATGTCTTTAACACTTAGCTGCAAGTGGTAGTTGTCCTTCAAGCACTAGAAGAAGCTGAACTTACTAAGGTTTGGCTGTAGCAGGACTTCAGTCTGACGCAAGATCTTCTCCGTCCAGTTCTTTGTGCAGTCTGCCCTGGCCATAAGGTTTTCAAAGTGGGCATCTAGTTCAGTCTTCTCAGCCTGGCCCAGCTTTTCTTCAGTGAACTGCAAGAAGGAGGCAGTCATTAGAAGGTCTGTTCTACCAAAGCAAAATTGCAGTGTGCTACAGGACTATTAAGGGACACTGAAGCTTCTTCTGCCTCATGCATTCACCTTAGCGTAGACCTAAAAGGCCTTCAAGGTGTCATTCTTTGTTCCCAGGCCTCTTTCATGGGAAGAGAACAAATTTTGCCCAAGAATGGAACAAGCATTGAGCTAAAAATAGAGTCCAGGTTTGAGAAGTGTTCCAGAATAAGTAACTTCTAATAAGGTCTGGTACGAAAATACTCTAGTTGTGAGGGATCCATTTAAGTGTGCAGAACTTCATGCAGAAGAGCAGCAGACATCCTTGACGTGAGGGAAGGTGCCATCTGCCTTCACCTCCTCCTGACCACCGCTACGTCCTGCAAACCCAGCAGGATTGGGAATGCCACTAACACCTCAGGAGTCAAGCTTTCTTCTCACCTTACTGGACAAGCATGTACACACTGGTTTTGCTACAGGGCTTGTGAGTGCCTTCTGCCAGCCATCACACTGCCAGGGTGTGAGCACTGTGTCCCAGCTCACCTCCTGCCTCGCTGGCAGTGAGCTGCCACCTCAGCATCTGATGGTTAAAGAGGCTCAAACTCAGGATTTAGGTAAAGATATTTCCAGCAAGTGACTCTTCCTCTTGGACATGCTCTGAAGCAGGGTATTGAGAGGAATATAACAGTGTCTGGCTTCTCTCAGCAATCTGATTCATACTGGCAACAGACTCTCCTTCCCTCTGTGATTCCTTTTAAGTTTAACACCAAGAGCAGGGAAAAGCAAGGCTTCAGTGTTCTCATCCTGGACGCAAGCAGCTTTGTCAGTCTGGATAGCCTGAACACCCCCATTGCTTCCTTGGGGGATGTCTGAGAGAAGAGCCCACTCCCTCTCATCCCAGCCCCACTTTCTACTTGCTCCTCTCAGTGAAGTTGCCAACTTCAGTGTATTTTTTAAGCATAATTTCCTGCTCTTGGCAGAACCAGCATCTTGTTGGATCATACTAAAAGACCCCTTCGGACAGCTGAGGATGCAGTTGTCCTTTTAGCCCGAGGGCTTCTGGTACCACTGTTGAGTTGCTGTACAATAGTTGGTACACTCAGGTGCCAAGAGATTAAAGCCTGGCTGGGATGAAATACAACTCCTGTCTGAGCTGCCACTTGCACCTTCTCTCCCCTCCCCTATCCCACAGCTCAGGGGAGATGCCCTCTTCATGGGGTCTCAGTCTGGTGACTGCTGCCTCTCCTGACAGGCTTTCTGGCAAGCTCTGGCTGCCCAACAGCCCTGTTCACATCCAGTACAATGCTGGGAACAAAGTGAGATAAGGAGCAAGCTGGGAACCAGCACGGGAGGCAGGCAAAGAGCCTTTAGGAGTCCTGTTACCAGTCCTGTGCAAATGTTCCTAGATGTCAGAGATACACAAGCCCTGCAGGTATGTTTACACAGTGACCTGTTTGGGCGAGAATCGAGCTAGAGCCACCGAACTGCTTTGCCAGATGTCTGTGGTGACACATACTAAAGTGCAAGGACAGTCACGCTCCCTCCTGCAGCCCAGTGGGGATGGAGGAGTCGCAGCCATGCATGATCAGGCATTGCTTTACTGCTCTCTTCCTCAGCACCAGCAGCCCCTGGTTCCTGGCACTTCATTTCAGCTCAGTCTTGCCCCCCTGGTTATTGCTGGACAGGGCTAAAAGCAGATTCAAGGTGAGAGGGTGTTTGTATTGCTTTGCACCTAATGTCTGTGATTGTCTTTGAGGGACACACACAACTACCAGACATGTGTGAGCGGCTGGGGCTCTCTCCCTCTGTCGCTGCTGGAAGCCCAGGGCTGTTTTCAGACTCTGCCAGGCTGGGCTGAGTCACTGCCATGCAGCAAACTGGGGCTTCCCAGGTATTTGGCATCAATTCTTGAGTCATCTGTTTAAGAGCTATAACTCTCTGATGCCGGCATAACAGTCTCTCTTTGCCCCCCTTTCCCAGACAGCTTTCTCAGATCTCATCTCACTTTCAAGTCCAGCTCTTCTTCCTGCAGTTCAGCATCATCCTGCACCAGCATCTGCCCTGGAGCTGTCAAGCCTAAACCTAGTTTCTTATCAGCTGAATTTAGTCAGCTTCTTACAGCATTACTGCAGAGTCAGATCACTGCTGAAGCCCTCCAGCATTTCCAGTGCTACTGCCAGCCTCTTGAATCAGTCCAGCTCTGGGGTCCTTTGCTCTATTCACAAGCAGCATCTCCAAGCATCAATGTCCTTTGTGACTCTTTTCTGTAACCTGCCCCTTCACCCAGTGCAGTGGAACAACTTGCACAGCACTTGGCCAGAGAGCAGCTAGGGCTCGAACTCAGTTCTTATCTCAAGATAGGCAATAAATGTGTTTGTCTTGCAATGCTGAGGACATGCACCACCATCACTGCAAGCCTGGGGGCTATGCCAGAAGGGGAGGATGGGCAGGAGTCTCAGCCACAGCCCATGGCTCCAAAGGGTAAGGCCAGAAAACAGTCTCTTATTCAGGCTTGCTTTCAGAGTTGGAAAGCAGGGCATGAATGTCATGAAGTGGGTGCAAGGGCATGGGAGGCTGTTACTCCATTTGCTCTTAATTCCCTTAGTGTGTATCTCCTGACCCCTGCCCAGAAATCAGCTCTGCTGCGGAGCCCAGGCACAGCCTGGGGCAGTTGGTACCTCTCATTGCAGGGTGCTGCAGAGGATGCTCTTTTCCTCCCCTGCAGCATACTTCTACCTCCTTGTCTGTGCACAGCGAGCCACTGATCCAGCTGAACTTGGTCTCTACTGTGACTTTTAGACGGATCAGAGAACTCTCCCAACTTCGCATCACTACTGGGAATACGGCATCAGATGCAGGGGAGAGCAGGACCACCTCTTGCAGGAGCAGCGTGCAGTGAGATCAGATGAAGCTTCTGATGAAAACAGAGCCAGCAAAGGAGATTATGGGTAAGTCACACCACCTTGTTATGAGCTAGTTCTTGTCTGATGCAAGTGGAGATCTGAGCTTTCAGGCAGCAACAGGTCTCAGCTGCTGATCCCCTCTTAACTGGCTGCCCAAGTCGGTGTTCTCAGTGCAAGGCAGGGTAGAAGAACAGCAGTTTATGAAGTCTGGCTACTCAAACACTTCCAGCAGAACTCCCCCATGAAGGATTTCTATTCCCAGGAACTTGTTTTCATAACTCTTACAGAGATTTCATTGTTTTTCCCTCCCATTGAACAGACAAAAGATTTCACTGTGAGGCCAAGAGGTGCAGGAGGACAGATGAACTGATCTCACACACAGTCACGCCTCCTGACTGTAGAAAGACAGATTAAAAGTATTTTCTAGAGGCATTGCTGTCTTTTGCAGCATCAAATAGTCCAGACTGCTACAAATGGGAGTGTTATTTGGCTTTATCCCATTGGCTTGGTGCATATCCACCTGGGATGGAGGCAGGCAGAGCACATCCAACTGCAATGTCTGGGGAGAACATTGAGCTCCTCCATCCTGCTGTGGCAGAGCTACTACATTTGTTTTCTAAAACCTGACAGATCCCCAGCCCTGCCCTGAACCTATTCCAGGATCTGCATCCTGGGATCACATGCCAGTGCCAAGAGGCTCCAGTGATCCTGACCTGCAGGAAGTGTCCCTGCAGCTGACCCAGCTGAGCACCAGCCCCGCGGCTCTGCAGGGAAGCTGGTGACATGATTAATAATGCAGAGCAGCCTTTTGTCAAGTGCCACTCTGGCTCTCCAGGAAGAGAAGTGCTGCATTCCAGGGCATCAATAATTCAGCCAAAGGTTGGGTTTCCTCTGGGAGGCTTGGCTAAGCATTATCAGGGCCCATGAGGGCAAGCAGGCTGAGCAGCACTTGGGTGACAGGCCCAAAAGAAAGAAGACTGTGCTGAGCTACAGTAAGGGCAGCTGCCTGCGTTCACAACTCCCCTTTCCCCAAGAGAGTTGTTAGAAACACTGGTGGCACATCAGGAGGGTCAGCAAGTAGAGCTGAGCTGGATGGGTCCCCTGCACTACAGCTACAGCGTCAAAAAAGCTGTGCCTGCAGCCCTAGTGACTTGAGGCCATCAAGGTTAGGCTTCAGAATAGCACACGCATTGTTTTCTTTGCTGAAACCCCTTTAAAAGTGAATGGAATAAAACCCCAGTGCTCCCACTGAGCTATGCCAACACCACAGCTGCTTCACACAATGCAGCACAAATTGACTTGTGTCTCTTCCAGGCTTATGTGATTTTTTGTCATCCCTGTCCCCTCCAGCTGGCCCAGGCTCTATGTGACCTCTCACAGGGTAGCTGCAGCCCCCTTGCAGAGGGTCTGGTGGCAGAGTTCAGGCCCTTGTACCACTTGCAGGGTCCTTAGTTATGTTCCAGGTGGACATTACTTATGGCTTTCTACCTTAAAGCTCAAAGATCAAACCAGGGCCAGGAGTCTCAGACCAGGAAGAGTCTCCTGCACTTGCCAGCAGATTTGGGCAGTTGGATTTTGTGAACCCCCAAACAGCTCAGAATGCCCAGGCTATGGTAACATCAGTTCTTTGGGTGATCAGACGCATGACAGAATTGGTTGAGGCAAATCTACCACCCACCTTGCATAGAAGCCATAGCCAGCATCAGTCAGCATCTAAAAACTACCTGAATTTCAGCAGCTCTGCACAGGATACAGGGCATGCTTCAAGTCTGGTCACCAGGAGTCAGGAGGGCTAGGCTGTGAGCCAAGCGAAACTGTGCTAGAGGACAGAAGGAAGCTGTAAACAGGCCAGCTTGGTTAACTCACGAGCAAGGCATTTAGAAGAGGAAAGAGATACTGCTGCGGTGGGTTGACCTTGTTGGGATGCAAGGCGCCCACCAAGCTGCCCTCTCACTCCCCTCCTCAGCAGGGCAGGGGGGAAAGAAAAGAAGATGGAAAAAACCCTCATAGATCAAGATAAAGGGAGTTTGAGAAAGCAAAAGCAAAGGTCATGTGCAGAAGTAACGGAAAATGAGATTTTATTATCTACTTCCCATCAAC